CCCCAAAACCCCAAAACCCCAAAACCCCAGGAGTACATAATTTGAAAATGTGCAAAAGCTTAAAATAAAATAATAAATTAAAAGAGGATAGTCAGATAGAGATATACTAATGCCAGTAATATATTGAATTAATCACAATTAATAATATTTTAAAAGAGGAGTAACTAATCTTACATTATTTTCCCAAACACTTGATACTATGAATATAAATAGATGCATCTTAAGTAGCTGCATTAGTTCCAATAATCAATATACCAACGAAGAGATATCTTAAATCGAATCCAATGAAAGTCTCTACTTAAAAGTTGAGGAATCTCTGGATAATATTAAGATATTAATTCCACGTGGGCACTAGTTTGGAGAATAGAGTCAGAGACTTTAGAAAGACTCCTCTATATTTTCAAATGAGTTTGAAGGAGGCAATGCTACTAAACCATAGTCTCAGTTCTTAATGTAGATTAGTGTTTTCGTTATCATTATCATCGCTTTGCTAATTCTCTTAGGTTACTACTCATAATGTAAATTTTCTATATATGTTGACAGATTCTTAGTTTTGATAAATAAAAAGAGATAGTAAAATTAAGTCACTCCATCAAAGAAATCAAGTAAGAGGTCTTCAAGATATGCTTCTGACTGCAGTGGAAACACTCAGACAATGTCTTAGATTGATCACAGGTCTCTTTCATCAGAGTAAATATTTTATCATAAAATTCTTAGATTAAAGAAAAACAGCTAGAGCGCGACAGCTTGTGCAACCTTGGAAACTCAATCAGGTGATGAGCTGGATGAGAGTTTAATAATTCAATAATCAGGAATCTATAATTTTAATCCAATTTGTCTTCCGAGATTAGTCAAAATTTTCCAGGAAGACAATATTTATCCTGATCTAGCTATGGAATATGATAAAGTGAGTATCAATTTAGATGAATATCAAGTAGGTTTACCTAAACCAATACGAACCTCCTTCAAAAGTACAATAATGATTTTTGTTAATTATTTACAGGGAGATTTAGCAAGAGAGTAGGGATCAAGAAATCTAGATAAATTTCCACTGATCAATTTCATTTAGATGAAAGTTAGTATCAAATAGATGATTATGATATGAATCCTTTAGAGGATGATCAATGGACTCATCGTTCGCTAATTTATTGATTAAGCAATATTCCTAGTATGAGCTTCTTGAATATATCTAATATGTACTTTCAGCTTGTTTTAGTAATTAATCTATAAGCAATAAATTATTTTATCGATCATTATGACAAGTATCCAAGAATTTAATCAATGGGGTTTTGGGGTTTTGGGGTTTTGGGG